TTCCCTTTCAGTTCCCTCTCCTGAACTTCCCTGCGTTTCCTCCCCATCATTTTTCCTCTTTTACCTCCTCTCCCTTGAGCAGCCCTGCTTAGGAGAAACACAATTTAAGGGATTCACCAGATTTCAGCCTCCAGCACTTGCTCACTCCCCATGAGAGCTTTGGCAGAGGCATCAGTGGAAGCCGAGCTCCTGGTGGGACCAATCCCTGAGAAAAGACTTTGGCTGCAAAATTTATTATTTTTTTTAACTCCCTACTCACCATACGCCATCTCTAACCCCTCTCTCATATCTCTTCTGGCTGCAGGGGAAATCACAACAACGTCCTTGCTGGACCGGGAGGCCAAGTCCGAATACATCCTCATTGTCCGGGCAGTTGATGGAGGTGTGGGCCACCACCAGAAGACAGGCATTGCTATGGTGAGTGTGTGAAAGAGTGATTCCCCCTCCTCTAGCCAGCAGGGAAGGCTGCCCGCTTCCCTACGCTACCAGTGTTGAATTTTTGCTTTGTGAAGAGAGCACTGTCAGCAGGGTTACTGACGACACAAAAGTGAGAGAAGTGGCTGACACCCCAGCAGGCTGTGCTGCCATTCAGAGAGACCTGGACAGGCTGGAGGGCTGAGAAATCTTATGAAGTTCAACAAGGGCAAGTGTAGAGTTTTGCACTTGGGAAAGAATAACCTCATGTGCCAGTATAGGTTGGAGACTGACTTGCTGGAGAGCAGCGCAGGGGAAAGGGACCTGGAGTGCTGGTGGGCAGCAGGATGGCCATGAGCCAGCAGTGTGCCCTCGTGGCCAAGAAGGCCAATGGCTTTCTGGGCTGGGGGCGAGGGGGGGTGGAGGGGGGGAGTAGCTAGTAGGTTGAGAGAGGTCCTCCTGCCCCTCTGCTCTGCCCTGTTGAGTCCACCTCTGGAATCTTGTGTCCAGTTCTGGGCCCCTCAGCTCCAGAGAGACAGGGAACTGCTGGAGAGAGTCCAGTGCAGCCCCAGGGATGATGGAGGGATGGAACATCTCCCTGGGGAGAAAGGCTGAAGGAGCTGGGGCTCTGCAGCTTGGAGAAGAGGAGGCTGAGGGGTGACCTCATAAATGTTTATAGATATGTCAAGGGGGAGGATGGAGCCAGGCTTTTCTCAGCGACGTCAAGTGACAGGACAAGGGGCAGTGGGTGCAAGCTGGAACATTGAAGGTTCCACAAAAATATTAGAAAAATTTTTTTCACTGTGAGGGTGACAGAGCCCTGGCACAGGCTGCCCAGGGAGAGTGTAGAGTCTCCTTCTCTGGAGACATTCAAAACCTGCCTCGACATGTTCCTGTGTGATCTACTGTAGGTGATCCTGCTCTGGCAGGGGGGCTGGACTAGATGATCTTTTGGGGTCCCTTCCAACCCCCAACATTCTGTGATTCTGTGAATGGGTAAAGAGCATACAGTGGTGTCTGCCCTCTGAGCTGCTCGCTGCTCTTGCGCGATGACTCACCGGGCTGTTTAGACCTTGATATTGGGCTCCCTTTCCTGGCAAGCTGTTCCTCCAGGAGCCACTTGACCTTCCAGAGCTTCATGTGTCCATCTCTCTGTGCGAAGGCGGTAATGGGAACCTCTTCCACCCACAGCACGGCTCCCTTTGTTCACGCCTCTTGAGAAAATGCTTAGTTGGAGAGCGTGCAGGCGTGCTTAGTTGTTCCTGATGACTGCTATTCACATACTGCCTGCATCAAGGGTTTCCAACCGGTGTGTGATGCCTGAGCTCCTCAGAAGGTTCTGGTAGAGGTGCAGACCTTCATACTGCAGATCGAAGCCTACTGCTTCGCCTCACCCTGCACAGGCATCAGGGAGACCCACTGTTTGCCAAGGGTTTGCAGAAGTGTGTGGAAATACGGGGAGGTCAAAAGACAAGACTCCATTTCTCACAGCTTGTGCAATGTGTTGGTTTGGATATTTCTTAACATTTGGGTGCTCTCAATCCCAGGATGCTCGGTGGTATTGCAGTCCCACACCACAGAGGATTATGTAGAGAAATATTGTGGCTGTGCTGAGGAGAAATAAGTGTCACTACTGCTGTGGGCAGAAGACTAGAAGGTCCCTATGGGGCCTCTCAGATGCATGTGACCACCTTGGCTGGGCAACGGCATGGCCTGGGTTCACCTTTGGGGCTCCAGTTGAGATGATGTTCTCCTAATAGTGAGAAGTGGGTGGCCAATTAAGTCTGCCTGCTGTCATTAGCAAGGACCTACACCCAGGACTCAAAGCTTTTCTCTCCAATCACCTTTAATGTGGGAATAAGGGTCTGTTCAGGGGCTTTACAAGGACTCTGGGTGCTGAACAAGTTCATGGGCTGCTTGGACTACAGGTGGGACACCGACCTTCCCTTTGGGGCCTGGGGGAACATCCTGGGGGGGGACCGTGGTGTCCAGAATTGCCTCTTTTTACCACGGGGTGGCACCAGCAGCTCAGCCTGCTTCCTTGGGAAGACCTCAGGAGAAGCTCCACCAAGACACCCTGAGTTGGGGTGGCACCTCTTGAACCACAGCTCTTCCCTCAGGCGCCTTTCATAGGCTCGCACGCTGGCTTGAAAAGGGTGATAAGGGGAGGTGAGAGACTCCCAGACAACTGGATGCATCCCATACACTTGCTACTGTCACTTAGATGCCATTTCTCACACTGAGAACGAAGATAGGTAACACCTCAGGGCACTCTTGTCTTTACACCTCTCGTTCTTGTACCCTTTCCTGATTTCTCATTTATTCCTTTGTTTTTTTCCTCCCCCTTCGCTTTTTACCGGTCGTTCAGGAGGTTGTTTTGCTGCGGATGTTCCCTCCGGAGGGTGAGCACGTGTGTTAGGTGTTGGCACCGCTCCCTCCTGACGCAGCGTCGCTTGCTTGCCCTCCCGCAGGTGAACATCACGCTGCTGGACATCAACGACAACTACCCCACGTGGAAGGATGAGCCGTACTTCATCAACCTGGTGGAAATGACCCCCCCGAACTCGGACGTCACCACGGTACGTGAAGGGAAGGCAGCTAAAAACCTTTTCTCTACACCTGGAGAGGTTGTCACCCTGCTTGGCAGGAGCAAGGTGTCACCCCTGGTCAAGCCCTACCTCACAGAAATCCATTTGAAAGGTTTCTCCTGACCCTCCTCCCTGCCGCCTGTCCTGTGCATTTCTCCTCTCTGCTAGGATCTTTTTTTTTTTTGGTTTTTCTTTTTTTTCCCTCTTTGAATTGCGTGGGTTTTGGCCAAATTCTCCTTCTCTTAGCCTTGCCCGCAACCTCCTTCAAGGACCTCTCTGAAAGACGTTGATTTACAGCCTTTCAAAATCCCTCTGGTGAAATAAAAGAGAGGGAGAGAGGGAGGCTTGTACTCCATCACGCCGGGAGAAAAATGACGGGCACGAAAACAGAAAATAAATGAGGGAAAAGTGAAGAGAATCCGCAAAATCGTATAAGGAGGAAGGCTGAGGAAAAAAAAGGAGTTGGGAGGGGGGAGAAGAAAGGTCTGGCAGCACAGCCCAAGCTGGTTTTCTCTTCAGTGTGGCACCAGTCCTGCTGCTCAAAGCCGTCTTGCTTTTGACATACTAATTAGTTGCTGGAAAAATAGTTGTCGTGTCACTGATATGATGTGAGTTCAGCTGTGGGATAAGCAGTGGGAGCTGGGGAAGTTGCAGGTACAATGAAGTTGGGGTGATTTTTTTAATATAGATGCCCCCTATAATTACAAAGGTCACGAGGAGAACCATAAACAGAAAATGTCTGCCATAGAGAACTCCCACCAGCGAATTATTCTCAGCAGAAGTTTCTGAGTGTGCCATTTGTCCTGTATATTTTATTTTTTTCCTGAAGGGTGTTTGTTTTCTAACCAGTTTTATTTAAAAGGAGTAAAGCCCCTTTGATAGCTACGTGCTTATGTCTCTCTTGTCATGCTGTTACCTCCCAGGGTTGTAGGCCAATTTTGAGGAGGATCAACACAGCAGTAGAAGTCTCAAGGGTACAAAATCCTTGCAAGTATTGTGAAAATACACAGCTGTGTAGGGGAGGAAGTTCTTCTGACTGGAGAAGACTTTTTTGAGAGCTCAGCCTCTTTATTAGACCCTAGTGAATCCACACGGGGGAGGAGTTAATTCCCATTGCTCTGCTTTAATTTTCTGAAGTGTCTCTGTGGCAGGTGGTGGCCATTGACCCAGACCTGGGCGAAAACGGGGCGGTGGTGTACAGCATCCGGCCCCCCAACAAGTTCTACAGCCTCAATAGCACCACGGGCAAGATCCGCACAACCGGTGTCCTCCTGGACCGAGAGAACCCCAATGCCCAGGAGGCCCAGCTCATGCGGAGGATCGTGGTGTCAGTCACCGACTGTAAGTCCCATCAACATTCATGACCGCGGCAAATCCCCTCCCGGCTTCCCCATCCTTCCCAGTTACCCTTGCAGCACAGGTATGAGGTCCCACAGAAGGGACTGGCTGTTGGAGAGAGGGCTGATTCACCCAGGTCAGAAGTGCCAGAAAGGCTGAGTCGCCATAGACCCAGCATCAAAACTGGCTCCAGGAAAAAAGAAGATGGGTCATTGTTGTGGGCTACTCTACTGAGGAGGCAAAGGGACCAATATGCCATCCTGATCCACTTCACGGGGAAGTTTGCTGCCTCCCTGGGGCACGGGTTAGGGATGTGTTGGAGAAATTTCCGACCCTAGTAAAGCCCTCTGATTATTACCTCCTTCTCGTATTTCAGGTGAGTAGTGATGAAGTGGGTAGAAGGAACCCAATATCAATTAAAAGAGATTTTACAGCCTTGGGATCAGGATCAGGAGTGCAAGTTGTATTCTCCTCTATCTCTTTGGTGGCAATGAATGAAGGAATTGCCTGGAAGAGACAAAAGGTCAACCCATGGCTTTGGGACTGATACTACCGGCAGGGCTTTGGGGTTTTTTATCATGGGCTGCTAGACAAGACACCTGGCCTGCTGGTGGCAGGTGTGATGCACCTGTCCCAGAGGGGAAGAAGGATTTTGGGGCAGGAGTTAGCAGGGCTCATTAACAGGACTTTAAACTAGATATGAAGGGGGAAGGGGAGATAACTGGGCCTGTTAGGACTAAGCCCAAAGGAAGCATGCCAGGGCTTGTAGGATGGTGGACCAGCAATGACTCTCGCTCTGCTAGTTCATTTGAGGGAAGGGATAGGTGTTTAGAAATCATGGAAGCACCCAGGAAGCGTCTGATAGGAAATAGGGCCCACACTCACAAAAAGGCGTTGGGATGAGTAGCAAAACTAAAGCGCATCTATACCGATGCAGGCAGCATGAGCAACAAATGGGGAGCTTGAAGCCATGATACACCAGAAAAACTATGACATAGTGACTGTTATAGAAACATGATGGGATGCCTCACGTGACTGGAGTGCCAAAATTGATGGCTACAAGCTCTTTAGGAGGGATAAACAGGGAAGGAGGGGTGGTGGAGTAGCCCTGTATGTTAGGGAATGCTGTGAAAGCTCAGATATCAAGTATAGCGATGATGGGATCATGAGTGTTTGGATTAGGTTAAGGGCGTATAAAGCTGATATTGCTGTGGGAGTCTGCTGTAGAGCTCCCAGCCAAAGCAGTGAGGTGGATGAATCTTTCTATAAGCAATTGGGAGAAATCTTGTGGTCACTTGCCGTTGTTCTTGTGGGAGACTTTAACCTCTGCTTTCCCTCCCTGATGGTTTCCATGTGTCAAGCTGAACTTTTCTTAGCTTCATCTTTCCTTTACAAGGAAGTTTCTTCTTCTCCCCCTCCTTTTTTCTTGTTTTGAGCATGTCACAAAGATGTTTTTGAGGTTGAAAAATGAGAGTAGGTTAAGGCCTGCCGCTAAAACAGATCAGAAACCTTTAAAATGCGAGCACAGTCATTTCTGTAGCAGCCCTGACAATGAGCCCAGGAGGCAGAAACTCCCCCTCTTCTCAGTCTGGCTGCATCAATATCTAAGAAAGTCAACTAAGCAGGTGGGGAGCAAGGCTTACCAAGTGGTGAAATGTCATTTTTCTCCAGGAATGGTATCTTTTCCATTATTTATCTTGTTTCTAGAAGCCCAGAGGCACACAGGACCTAACCTCTGCCCCTTTCAGTTTTTACATCACCTCTGCTAAAGCCACCACCCCATCAGAAAGACAGAGATAAGCACCGACTGGTGTTACTCTCATTTTGCCGCTGCATGCACAGGTAGCCATGGCTATGCTTTGCTGCCAGGCAGAGTTTCCCCCTGCCAGGGGACTGGTACCGTTCATCTGATGGGCTAGAGCACGAGAGGGAGCTTGGGCAGGTCAACGCTTTGATGGAGCAGCCCCATCCTGCACTAGTGTCTGTGAAGGCAGCGAGGGCTCCTTTTTGGGGAAGAAAGGGTGGAAACAGCTTTGAGGCGTTCACCTTGAGGCCTTGTTCCAGGTGGGAGGCCACCCCTGCGAGCTACCAGCAGCGCCACGGTTTTCGTCAACCTGCTGGACCTCAATGATAACGACCCTGCTTTCCAAAACCTGCCCTTTGCTGCCGAGATCGCCGAGGGCCTTCCCGCTGGCTCCTCTGTCTTCCAGGTGAGTGTGTCCCACTGCCACCGTGCTCCCTGCTGGGAGCTGCTCCTGTGGCTTCCATCCCTTCTACAAAGCAGGCTAGCTCCTCTTCATCCTTCTCCTCCTCCCTCTCCTTTCCGTGCTCTTCCCCGTGCTCTGCACTCTCTCCATCCTCTAACAATGCAACTAGGTGGATGCAGAAGAGGTTGTGCCGTCCCGCCCTGTGTGCCTGTTCCCAGCTGCGGAGTTCATCGAATCATTAAGGTTGGAAAAGACCTCCAAGATCATCTAGTCTAACCATCAACTCGACGATACTACTCGACCACTAAACCATGTCCCAAAATGCTCCAAGACCCCTTTGTTTCAGCTCAGCATCCCTGGGGGCAAAGGAACGCTCAGGGTTTATGAACTGAGATTTTCCTTGTTAGGAGAATGACTGGGCTTCCCCCACACTCACTCCTTCCCTCTGTTCTCCCCGCCAGGTGGTGGCCATCGACCTGGATGAGGGGCCAAATGGGCAGGTGACATACCGCATGCAGGTGGGGATGCCTCGCATGGATTTCATCATCAACGGCACCAGCGGGCTCATCATCTCCACTGCCGTGCTGGACAGGGAGAGGATCGCCGAGTACTACCTGCGGGTGGTGGCCAGCGATGCTGGCGTGCCCTCCAAGAGCTCCACCAGCACCCTGACCGTCAAAGGTGGGTGTGCTGGGACCCCTTCTGATCCCTGCCCATAGGCCCTTCTGGTCCCAAAACGATAGATGACAAGTACACCTCACCGAGGGGGGGACGTGTGGTTTATGTAGGAGACAGACTGAGAAGGGTCCATCTTTCATTTGATGCATTTCTATTTGCTGGCTTTCCACAAGCCTAGTGCTGAAGAAAAGCATCATCTGGATATAAACTGACCCTGCGTTCTCCTCAGGTTTAGAAAAGGAAGTTTCTGGTCCTGAAACCCCAGAGCCCTTTGTCGTATATCAGGAAATACTGAGCGTATAGGCAGGTGGCTTTGGGAGCCTGATATCTGCAGGAGGGGCAGCCCTGGGCAGGAGGGTCACTCAGCTCTGCTCCTCCCTTTCAGTTCTGGACGTGAATGACGAGAACCCTACCTTTTTCCCCGCCGTCTACAACGTGTCACTGCCTGAAAACGTGGCTCGGGATTTCAAAGTGGTCCGGCTCAACTGCACAGATGCTGATGTTGGGCTGAACGCTGAGCTCAGCTACTTCATCACAGGTAGGAGGAACCCCTTGCAACAAAACACAGCTTTGGTTGTGGAAAGGAGCTCCCGGGACCGTGACCAGGGTGTCCTGCACATCAGCTCTGCCTTTTGCAGCCCCTCCAAACCTTGTACAGTATCGCCATCTGCCGAACAGCCTCGCTCTGCTCCGGCTGCTATTCCTGGTCCTCCTGGGGTGAGCTCTCACCCCCCTCTGCCCTGAGCATCTTCTGCCCTCCCACAAATCTCTGAATCATAGAATCATAAAATGCAGCCAGGAAAAAGCATGATGATGGGCTTAACCACTGCTGAGGCGGCGTTCACGTGCATTTAGGGCTGGAAATTTAAAATCTGGAGGTTTAGGGCATCTCGTAGGCTGGGTCTGGGTGGGCAGCACTCGGCTCGCCCCACATCTGCGGCACCCGCAGCGAGAAGCCAGGGAAACCCCCGGCCGTGCTTTGACTTGCAAACTTGCACATGCAACATTCAGGAAGAGGGCAAAAAAAATGAAGCGTCACCAGAGAGTCATTTATTTCTTTTTCTCACAAGAGCAGCCCTGTGTTTCATCTCACTTGCTCCAGGGCAGGGGGAAAGAAAAGGTGTGTGTTGTCCCACAAGTACCACAGACCGCATGCAAAGTGACCCCGGTTTGCTTCCGAAGGTCTCAGGAAATGATCTGACATTTACATGATTCAGCTTTTCCTACAACCTTCGCTCCTCGCCAGCGCTGTGAGGCAAGCACCGGCACATGGTGTGGCAGAAAGAAGGCTGCAGAGCCACTTTTGCTGCAGGGAAGATTTGTCTGGGATGAGATGTGAGCTTGCCCTATGCTTTCCTTGCCCAAAAACACGTAAAATGCAGCTTTTCCAGGAAGGCAAGCCGAGCACTCGGGAATTTCGCCATCAGGCTGTAGCATCCCTGCAGCGCTGCTCCCTGCATCCAGGCAGCGGGTGACTGAGTCCTTGTCCTTCACTACAGGTGGGAACCAGGATGGCAAATTCAGCGTCGGCTTCAGGGATGGAGTGGTCAGGACAGTTGTGAGTCTGGACAGGGAGACCGTGGCGTCGTACGCGCTGATCCTGGAGGCCATTGGTAAGGATTTCCCACCGTTCCCGCAGAGGGGTGGCCGCGGGCATGCCTTGGAAACTCAGGAGAGAGGCAGCGACCTTTTGAGGTGCTCTATCAACCTGTGGTTGGTGTTAGCACTTCACAGCCCACATGCATGGTTCCACCGTGATTTTGCAGGCAGTAAATTCACCCCTCAGGCTCGTCCAACCCCTCTTCCCTGGAGAAGGCAAGCCCCCCTGTTCCCAAGAGGCTCCGTGCTCTCGGGGGCAAATGTCCACCCAGAAATGCCATCACCACAGCATCGCTCCCCTAATGCCATGCCAGCTCTTGGCTTGGTGGCTGCTGATTAATCCAGAGCCACCTGGCAAGGGCAGAGGGCCTGTGTGCCAAACACACCTTGGCCATCATCCCCAGAGCTTTATAATGATGTGCCTGTTTACAGAAGACTTGGATGCCCCTTTTGAAAAGAGGAATAAGTGGCCTGGTCAGAAGTCTTTGGGGTTGCAGCATTGCAGGTGCCACAGGATTGGATCCCAGGCAGGAACGGGACTGTTAGGCCCTTCTGATGGGTATCAGACTGCTGATGGTTTTCCAAGTCGCCAGATCCAAGCTGGGTGGGCTTTGTGCTTTCTTCCATCAGGCATGCTGGAAAAAAACAACCCAGCTTATGCTCCCTGTTGCCTCATCCTTCATGGCAAACCCAAGAGCTGTGCTGCCATGTCCTTATCTATTGAACACGAACAGGTCCCCAAGCTCTTTGGCTGTGAGCTGAGCCTGGTCTACAGAAAACTCAACAGACCTCTGCCCGAATTCATATCCCAAATCCCTGACCTCCAGCAATCCCTTCCTTCTTAGTCTATGAAGCTGCAAACCTACTTTTAATGATTGCTTGCATTTCTAGCCTCACTGGGCAGTGGCTCCATGATACAGCTTGAGGGTGGTTTGGCTTTTCTTTTTTTTTGTTCAGGATAGGCAGAAAAAAACCCCAACCTCGTGGCTTAGCTTGGGATTTGGAAGCTGCAGAAAAGATGGAGGGGCTTAGTTTAGAAATGTTGATCCTGTTGTTTTTTAGCAGCCGAAGGCTGAGCATCACCTGTGCAAGGAGGAGACAGAGGTGACCGAACCTCCTCTCACCTTTCTCTCCCAAACAGACAACGGCCCCACAGGGAACCGGCGCACCGGGACTGCCACCGTGTATGTGACCATCCTGGATGTCAATGACAACCGACCCATCTTCCTGCAGAGCAGCTACGAAGTCAGCGTCCCTGAGGACATCCCGGCCGCCAGCAGCATAGTGCAGGCACATGGTTCTCTCCCACGGGGGGTCTCTGGGTTGGGGAAGGGGGTTGCAGGAAGCCCAGGGTGGAGATTTTTCTCTCCCCATCATCAGTCTGTTCCCCTGGGCCAGGGCAAGTTAATCTGGAGACGAGAACTCTGAGAGGAGACCTCACTGATCTCTACAAATCCGTCAAAGAGGTTGTAGGGAGGAAGGTGTTGGTCTTTTCTCTCAAGTTACTAGTGATAGGACAAGAGGAAATGGCCTCAAGTTGCCTCAGGGGAGGTTGAGATGAGATATTAGGAAGAAATTCTTCACGGAAAGAGTTGTCAGACACTGGAATAAACTGCCTAGGGAGGGGGTTGAGTTGCCATCCCTGGATGTGTTTGTGTTGCTTAGATGTGGTGTTGGGTGATGTGGTTTAGGGGTGAACTTGTAGTGTAGGGTCAGTGGTTGGACTCGATGATCCCAAGGGTCTTTTCGAACCTGAACTGTTCTATGATTCTATGATTAGGGAAAAATTCTTTATTGAAAGAGTGGTGAGGCATTGGAAGAGGCTGCCCAGGGCAGTGGTGGAGTCACCATCCCTGGAGGTGTTCAAAGAACGTGCAGACATGGCACTTCAGGACATGGTTTAGTGGTTATGATAGTGTTGGTTGACAATTGGGCTTGATGATCTTAAAGGTCTTTTCCATCCTTAAGGTTTCTGTGATTCTAACAGGCTTTCTTGCTTGTGCGCCCCCCTGCTCCTTTGCTAACCCAGGCTGTGAGCACTGGGGAGATGACAGCAAAGCCAGGGAAAAATAAGAAGCATTTCTGCAAGGGGGAAGAGGAGCAAACCCAAGCTCTGTGTTGGCGAGCCTGCCCCTGTCCCCACTTTCTCCCTCCTCCCAGCAGAGAAGGGATGGAGAGAGGAGATCTCAAGGGGGAGGGAAAAGAGGGAGTGCAGAGATGCTCTTGGGGGGGGGGCAGGGGGAGTGGAGGGAGAAAAGCATTGGGAGTTTGCTTTCATTTTTGTTCCTCTTTGAGGGAGCAGTGGGCAGAGCTGAATGGCTCAGTGAGCGCTGAATGAATGCAGGCATTCACTCAGCCTCTGAGGGCTTCCAGCATCTCTTCAAACCCAGGGCTCTTCTGGAGCGGGTAGCAAAGGCTCTTTGCAGAGGGCCCTGTGAAGGCTCCTCCTGCCTTGAATACCTCTCCCGGCCCAGGGAAAGGGGCAGCTTTGTCCCTGGCTCTCACAGGCGTTGTGAGTCACCGGGAGAGAAGAAAAGAGCTTTTTCGCCTACCGCAACAAAGGTTTTGCTGGGAGCTGTGCGTGGTTCTCGAGCACAAGCTTCCCACAGCTCCTCTTCGCGTGTTGCTCCCATGGCACAAAAATTACAGGGATTTGGAAAAATGGGCAATAACCTGGGTTTAGCTTAATTCATGCCTCTGAGGTGGACTGTTTGTAGTGAAGGTCTCTCCCTTCAAAGACAGCCCTGTTGCCCCTCTGGCAACAAGAGAATTCTGACCTGGAAGAATTAAACTTTTTCTTTTCCTACCGATTCCTTTAAGCACGTTGGCTTACCTACTGGTTGTCATACCCTTTCCCAGCAGAAGCAAGCAGTGCCTTTTTGAGCTGGCAGCAGCTGCAATCCTCCAAAGGCCTCTTTAATGCATTTACAGGCATGTTTACCTGCTCGTTTATTGAAGCAGGTATCCAGCAGCCAGCTGTAGCGCATTCTTCCGAGAAGAAACTGGAGCAATCCATGACTCGTTGCATGGAGAAGGGGGACACAAGCACCAGGTGGGGCACAAGTCTTCTCTCAGGAGGCAATCCTGGCTGAGAATTGCTTTTTGGGGGCCACGTTTGCCCCGGGATGCCTTTCTTCGTTAGGCAGCCAGGTTGCTCTGCTCTCGCCCAGGCACCTCGCAACTCACACAACGTTTTCCGAAAGAAACGAAGCAGCAGTATTTTTGTGGGCTTGCCCGGCAATCGCTGCGTGTGGGTGTAGTTTGGGTGCCTCCAGTTTTTCCTACCTGGAAAGCATTTGGGAAGCTGAAATAACAAAATCTGCCGCCTTGCAGAGCCACTGCCTGGAAACGAGCTGCTCGAAGGGGCTCTGCCAGGATGCTTGGGGGTATCGGGAGCTGCTCGAGGAGGGGACTGAACCTGAACCAAAAGCTCAAGATGTGGGATGAGCTAGTTCCTGCAGAGCAGGATCACATTTTGGTGGACTCTGTGATGTCCTGGCTGGGGGGGGAGCTCCTGGGGAGGATGAGCTGGTTCTGGCACACGGGCCGGCTTCTCCTGAAGGTGTTGATGGAGCGGCGCAGGGAGCCCAGTCGCTTCCAGAGCCTCAGCTGGGGCTCGCTGGCATCTGTTGGGTGGTGGGGCATGCACTCACGGGAGCGGTCCAGTGCTGCCGGCTTGCAGAGGGCGACAAAGATGAGGAAGGTCGCCAGGAGGAGGAAGATGCAAATGAGGGCGGCGATGATGGGCAGTGGCTCTGCCATCCTGAGGGATGTGGGGCTGGGTGGGACGAGCTCGGTGGTTGAAAGCAGAAGCCCAAGGAGAGGCGGGGTGGGAGAGGTCCCGTTGCCGGTGTCCTCTGTGCTCATCTTCCCTGCAGTGCACAAGGCGACACAAAGAAGGGACATGGGTGATTACCACCTAGAAGGTGGACAGATAGCCACTCTCTGTCCATCTCGATGGGTTTTGAGCTTGCTTTGATGTCTAAGGTCCTCCCAGATGTGTTTTCTGTGACAAGGTGTCTGTTCCTGCACAGAGATAGGTTTTAGAAATCCAAAGTACTACCCTGAAGTGCAAAAACCGTCTGGCAAAGAAATCTAATGCAAGTAGTGCTGCGTACACATGGTATCGTGACCCTGTAAAGCATAAAGCTTTTCTGGAAGCAATGAATAATCGTATGGTAGAAAAGGTCCAAAATCCTCTCCCTAAGCTGCTGGGGTTTGGTTCTCTGTTCCCCAGGAATGTGGGTTTATTGAATTGACTGTCATTCGGGGATTTTTTTATTATTCCTTCTCCCTCAAAAAAAATGAATAATTGGTTGAGCCTCCACCCAGATAACTCTATGTCGAGCTGCAATATTGCACTAGTATTGCCTTTTTCTTTCCCTTTTTTTTTTTTTTTTTCTCTGCGGGGGCGAAGTGTAACGCCCTCACCCTGCTTGGGCCAAAAATCCTCTTGTGTTAGGTGTTTTGCTGACCTGGTTTCAGGTTCAGACACGTCGAAGGTTTTGCAGCCAGTTCTGCAAACATTGACACAAAACAGCTTTCCAAAGCCTCAGCAGTAAGATCTCTACCAAACTGTCCTCTGCTTTCTCCACCGGGTCAGATCCTCCCACGGCTTGCATCCCCAGAGCACTTTGCACCCATCCTTTTGCTCCTGCACCCATTCCTGAACCCGGACGGGCTGTGCCCCCCAGCTCGGAGACGAGGGTTGGGGAAATTTTGCTGTGCCAATCCTCTGCAACGCGACAGCTTAGCTTGGCCCTTGATGCTGTAGCCTGGATGCTGGAGGGAAAGCCTCATTACGCTGACTTTCCTACAGAGATGTGGGAGTTAGCAGAGTGATGGAGAGGGGTAAGACAGGTCCGTGGCTTGGCATTCTCCTGGCAAGCACAGATTTGGATCGAGGCAATTGAAAATGAAGAGCTTAGGAGGGGAAAGGCAGGGGCTGCCAGGGTCTGCTCTTGCACCCCAAAGCCACACAGGTTTGTGTAGGCAGCGGCCAGACGTTCGCTGACAAAATATTCAGAAAAAGGGGAGAGAAGACATCAGCGAAATGTTTTTAATCACTAACTGGAAACCATGAGACACACCGGCAGAGACGAGCCGGGTGGAAAGTGAGATGCTGCGTCAGGAGAGACAAGCATCACTCAGCGTCCCAATCATGCAGGAGGAAACAACCTTAAGCAATCTCATTAAGAGCAAGCCAGGAGGCACAGGTCATTTTTTTTGCACTGTTGCTGGTGGCTGGGGGGGCTTCTCCTTTAAACCAATGTGACAGTGTCCCTTAGGAACGTGTCGGGGGGATCACACTGTTGTTTTCCCCAGCCTTTTCCAGCCGTGCCCTCTTCTCCCTTTGCTTCCCATCCGCCTCCTCGTCACGCCCAGCTCAGCTGGCAGAGCTGCAGGTTCAGAGAAGATCCAGGCTGATCTCCAAGTCCTTCCAGAAAGAGAGCTAAAAACCTGGCAATTCTTTACAGGGTGCACGCAAGTGGTGACTATATTTTTGGAGCCTAAAATTTTTCAGCTTACTAACGTGGACAAAGGGGATTCCCCCTCATCTCTTGCCTGAGACAGAGCTACAGCTGTTTCGGCTGAATTTGGGAAAAAAAGCCACCAAAACTGGGAAAAAGACAGCACTCCTTGTGTGAATAAGAGATTTGCCCAGCCTGGCAACTCCCCTGAAAAGGGTCTTCCCTGCCTGATCAGCTCTAACACGAGACGTTCCCTCAGGACACGAGGCAGTTGAGGATCAGATAGAAAGAAGAGAAACTGCAAAAAGCAAAGTGCACCTGAGGAAGGGTGGAAAGGAAGAAGAAAACATTCTTGTTCCTGAGCAGTGGAGAGGGTTATTCTGCCCTGGTGCCAGGCACTGCCTGCCTGACCTGGCCCAGCTGCCTAGTTTGGCAGGAGTTTTCCCGTATGCTCTCCCTCCCTTTTCTCAAACTCCTGCAAAGAAAAGGCTGTTTTCGGGCACTTCTGTGCCTGTAATCCAGCTCAGATGAAAAGCAGCTCTCTTTTCCCTCCCCGCCTTTCTTAGCGAAGCTTTTCTGGAGCTCCCCAGCTTTTTTCTGTCTTTCTGCTTCTCCTTGCAGGAGGAGGCAATGCTGGGGGGTGCCAAACACCCCGCTTCTCAACCCAGATAGTTGGATACGGAAAGCAAAAGGGCTCCTACCTCTCACTGGCCGGCTTTGCCTTCCCCGCACGCCTGCCTTGCCGCCACTCCAAGCCCCCGGGGTTGTGTTTCCCCAGGCTTAGCCCCTGTGGGGAGGCTGAATGATACAGTTGTGAGCTGCTCCCCCTTTTCCCAGCAGCTCTGTGCCAAGCTGCCTGCTTTTTTCCCCCATCCTTTTGTTTCCACCCTCCTCCTTTTTTGACCCCTTTCCAATAGCTGGGGGTGTTTGAAAGGTGATCTGCAAAGGGCTGGCTCTGCCTGCAGCCTGCTCTCCCCAGCAGGGAGGCAAAGCAGGCTTGCTGGGGCTCGGCTGCACAAGGTGCCTTGTCCCTGCAGCTGAAAGAATTTTTTTTTCTCCCACTGCTTGCACACGGGTGCAATCAGTTTGCCAGGTTGGGGACATCCTGCATCTTGTCCGCTTGCCTACTGGGGACGGTATTGCATCTCCTCTGGGGCTTCAGTGGGTCAAAGCAGCAGATGATGAGGTTTTTTCCCAAGGCTACAGGCTGGCAGCATCGCTTTAATGCAAACTATAAAAACCAAAATACCTTGGCTGACCCTCTTCACCTGGTTATTGCACTGCCTGCAACAAACTCTTGGGTTGAGCTGGGAAAAGGATGGCTCAGGGGGTGTTTGCAGGATGCTGTTTGCTCATCACACTGAAAACCTTCACATTTGCTCACCTCAAAATGCGTTTTCCCAGGCACGGTGGGGCAGAGAATGGCACGAAAAGCTGCAGAGATTTCTCTCCCATCTCTTGGGTTTCTTTGCCACGGCTGCCACCGCAGCAGGGTGTTTTGGCTCACAGGATAGCTTTTGGGAGCCAGGGCTGTGCCAAGGCAGCTGGTCTGCCTGGGCATCACTTGCCTGCTGGTGTGGAGCTCATCCATCACCAGCCATCGCTGCCCAGAAATGGTCTCGGGGAGCCCTGAAGATGGGAGAGCTGGTGTGGGAGAGAGAGCTCTCTATTGTGAAAGGAAGTCTCTGGTGGAACAGGGAGCAAGGTGCAAGGGTTGTGACCAGCTGTAAGCAAGACGTGAAACAGTCTGGGAGGGAGGAAAAGAAGGTGTGTGGCGCAGGGGTGGGAAATCAATTTGCAAGTGCAGGGGTGCATGTTTTCTTAAGGCTGATTCGGTGGAAGGGACCAAGACATCTCAAAACAGTGTTTCAGAAGAGCACGTCTGCCTCCTGCAAGCGTGGGTGAAAGCTAGCCCAGGACTTTAAAGCCAAGCCCTTATCAACGGCCTCGCTCTTCCTGCTACACACACATCCTTTGCAGCGCACCCTCCTCTTCGCCGCACGTATATGGGTGCAAACCCCTACCTGCCTGGAAAAAGGAAACTGCTGAGTAAGGTTTGTAGGGAGAAGATGCCTTGCAGGGGCAAGAAGGTGGAAAATAAAAGCTAAGGCATCCCCGGCAATTCCCAAGCAGCCACCGCCATGGTCATGCTTTGTGGTTTCTGCAGAGGAGGAGATGCGGCGGCTCGATGCCAACCAGGGAGAAAAGCCCTGGC